TATGTAATTGGATTATGTATGTTTTAAGTTTCTAATAAAAGTAGTGCAGATAAAAATGAAAATTTTACAAACTCTTATGCCAGTATATGTTAATAATACCTGAAAAAAACGATGTTGATATAATTCAGCTCCATCCTTAAACCAGGTAATTGTGGGTCTTGGATTTCCTGAAATAGTGTTAAGAATAATTTTTTTTTAGATTTTTTTAAATAAGTATTAAAAGATACATTAAAATTTACCTTGTGCCATACAAAAGAAAGTAATCTTACGTCCAAGTGTATAATCCAGTTCAAAATGAGAAGACTTTATAATTTTGGCACCCTTAAGATAAAAATATCAAAATTATTTTATAAAAATGTTTAACAATATTTTTGTAAATGAACCTAACATTTTCGTGATCATAATAGTTGACAGCATCCGGGGTGCGATGTTGTATTAAAACGGGCTTTTTACCAGTGTAGTTCCTTCTTAAAACTCCACGTCCACCAACACTTCCTAAAGAAAATAAAAACAAAAAATTATATAAAATTAGTTTAAAAGTTCAAATTTTTTCTGTAGGTATTAAACAATAGAATCGAACGCTCCCGTGGGAAGAGAATCACTCCGACCTTAATAGATGTTTTATAATGAAAAACAAAATATAGTGGTATAGAAGCCATTCAACCTTCTTGAAAATTACAATATTTGATGTCGAATATTGTTTACTTTTTTTTCAGTTATTATTTATTATTATATATTTTTATTATATAACAATTTTTAATTTTGAATAATATATTATTATAATAATAATAGTAATATTGTATATAAAATGTTTGCACTTATATTAAAATCTGTATATACTCCTATTTTTTTTTGTATATTTAATTATTAATTTATTTATTTGTGAATAATGATTTTATTTAATTTATACGTACTTTGTGTGTTGGAATCGCCACATATAGACAGCATTATTAAAATAATATATAAAATTGCAATGCGTCCACTTTTTCTGTTCATTTGTGATATATTACAATTGACACGAAAATGTTAGAGTGCTAACTCGTTCAGTTATATGAACTATTATCTCTCAAATTTTTTATCACAGTGATGTGCTGCTACGAAATCTATTTCAATACTAAAGACATGAGTGACTCTTCTCAGCGCTCGAACGTGGTTTGCGCTTTTTGTTATTCCATCAATTGAATTATATTAACGTGACAATGACTGATTTGGATCATCACAGTTAATACTATTTTTATTCACTAAACAATTTTGTTTTGTTTTGTATATTTAATTTATAATGTTTGTAAATTTGTTTTTAGGGTATTCCAATAAATATTATAATCACTTGTACAGCGTTTGTCAAACTTTATTCTTTATGTGATTTTAAAGAGATTCACATCATTTTATTATAATTCAAATATATTACATATATTTCCTACATTTAATCTACTAAAAATTTAAAAAAGGATATTTCAGTTTTAGTTGATAGTCAATAAATCGTTTCTAATTCTGAAAGTGAAGACACACTCTTCCTTTTTTTTATTTTTTAGTAAAATAATTAAATATAAAGTTTCTTACTTAAACTTTATTGCTTAAATTGCTTTATATATATCTATTTATCTATTATAGTTTTTTTCAATATAATTTTTATACTTAATAAATTCTAAATAGATTTTAAATAGCTTTAAATGAGAAAAGCTGCTGAACAGTTTTTAGGTATGCAATTTCACTTTTCTGGAAAAACGTATCTCCTGAGTATCTCCTTTTTATTATGGGTAAATAGGAAAAAGACACACAATGTCATATCTGAAGAATAAAAAAAAATATTCTTGCAACAAATTGAACCGCCTAGTGTTTTAAACCAAAAAAATTTGTGAAACCCATTACAGATGTATTACTTTTCTGTTTCTTCAGAAACCTCGAACGGTAATTTTGTTAGCAAATACAATCATTTTAATTTATTTGAATAAATTACATGTAATTTTTGATGGACGTATAAGGACGCCTGGATTTAATGTCCTCTGTGACACTTGTTTCAGATTTTGAATATTTCGCTGCACTGAATTCTGTTTTTAGGAAGCAATTTTATACAAATTCTCTGATCCAGCACTTCTGCCGCACCATAAGTCCTCAGAACACACTAATCTATATCTTGCTCATTCGCTCGGTAAACACAAACTAAACAACTGTAATAGTAAACACGTACGTTACTAGCAGTGCAACCAATATATAAAAAAAGACTAGACTCAACAAATGAAATACATCTCTTATTATGTTCTAGAATTTTTAACTTTGCTTAAATCAGTTTAAGAAATGCATACATGCTTCTCTTTTCTTAAGTAGTTTATATTTATATATAAGAGTGTATATGTTTAAATACAATATTTATTTTATATTATGTCTAATGATGATTTTTTGTTTTTTTTTTTCAGTGGAATGTGGAATGTTCCTTATGTTTCCAATGTGTATTTGATCAAAAATACCGCATTTAAATATATTAACTATGATCATCAATATTTTGACCCCGATATGGCCATGTGCGAATCACTTCGTAACGCGGTAAGCAAGTTCAAATTTTCAAAATATATTAGTATATGTACATTTTTTGATGTAAGTAAGCCGATTTATAACACTTAAAAACATTTAGTGGTGTTTTTTTGTATTTTTTTAAATCATTTTTTGCTTTTGGTATGATTACTATATCACTAAATTTGTCATTAAAATATTTTTATATTTTATATTTAATAAAAAAAAAAATATTTTAATCGATGTGAAGTATTATATCAAATATTAAACTTATATATATCTATCCTCCAAAAATAAATTACTATATTTATTTTTATATTGTTACATCTGTTATATATATAACATATACTCATAGAATTAATTTTCAATCTTCATACAATGCAGGGTATTTTTATGTATATCACAAACTATCGCGCATACGGACACATGGTGAATGTAGATAACTTCGATAGTACTCTTACAAGTCCAGATTTCTACACGCTTTTTACAAACAAATATGACTGGATCCTAAAATACCTACATCCAAATTATGCAAAACAGTTAGAAGCCAATGTAACAATACCACAACCATGTCCGGACGTATTTTGGTTCCAGATTGTAACTGATACTTTTTGTGATGATTTTGTTGCTATAACAGAGGCCTATGGCAAGTGGTCAGATGGAAGTAATAAGGTAAGTTAATTTTATACTATTTATTGTGATTGTTTAAAAAAACCAACGACTAACACTAATATTATTTATTATTTTCTAGGATGCTCGCCTTGAAGGCGGCTATGAGGCTGTACCAACGCGTGATATTCATATGAAACAAGTAGGCTTAGATCGACTATGGTTAGAATTCTTACTACTTTTCGTGCGGCCATTACAAGAAAAAGTTTTTACTGGTTATTATCATAATGTAAGCAAACAATATTTATATATTGGATATGTGAATAATTTATAAAAATAATTTATTTAGCCACCACGTTCATTGATGAATTTTATGGTGCGATATCGTCCTGATGAGCAACCTTCCTTAAGGCCCCATCATGATTCTTCTACATACACCATTAATATTGCACTCAATCATGTAGATAAAGATTATGAAGGCGGCGGTTGTCGTTTTATACGCTATAATTGTTCAGTCACCGAAACAAAGAAGGGTTGGATGCTTATGCATCCCGGACGACTTACACATTTCCATGAAGGACTTTTAGTAACTAAAGGCACACGTTATATTATGATATCGTTCATTGATCCATAAATATGGTTTTCAATTTTGACTATTGGGAACATATTCGGTTCTCGCCTTTAAATTTATTAAACTGCCATTTGTCTATCCAAAGATTTTATAAAATTGCTTCAAACTCGCAAACTTGTTTAAGTGTGATTATTTTCCCATCGTATGTACTAATATATTGAAAACACATACTCAACGCATTGTTTGTCGACGATTTCATTTTCAATGAAAATGAATAGTATATCATGTTTTAAATGCATAAAATTAATAAGTGTTTTTATATTAATATTTATTATATTAAGTAAAAATGTCAATGACTACATTTTGTATAAAAATTAAAATAAAAATTAACGAAACCTATTTTCTAAAAGTTTTTTCCCATTAAAAATGTTATATTCATAACCTTACTTTTTTAGGCTAAGGAAAACTCATATCATACTAATGTTCTCATAAAATATATAACAGCAATATTTTATTATATCAATAAATGTACAGATCAATAAAGATTTAACTGCTTTATGACATTATTTATTATTTATTATATATACTAGGTGACCCCGCGAACTTCGTACCGCGTAACAGTCATTGAATGTTATATTAAATTTTAGATTCATCAGCGATCGAATTTTGTGCTTGAATACACGTGCAGTGATGTCGTGCCGATCACTTGATGTCTGTCCAGAAAGCAGCATTTAAACAATTTCTTTCCATTTTGGATTACACGAACTAATTTTCTTGGTAGTTTCCTCACCTGATTTAAAAACAGTAAAATTAGTATCTTAGAAGTGAGATTCACGTATGTATTCTGAATTGAAAACTATGATGTTGATACCCACCATTCAATGGGCTTATCATTTTTATATTGAAGTCATATCCATCATCTTGCCAAAACATCAGTGGGTATTGCAACGTGTCATATGAACGATGTGTTTCACATACTTGTTGCAGTTGCCCAGTATCGCGACGTGTAAGCACAATATCACGTGTGTTCAACTTTTCTCCAACGATCAGGATTGCAACTTTATCTATTGTTGGAGCGTTAAATTTGCGTTCATGTGTTTCTGCTGGTCGTTTATCCGCTCTGATCACAACTTTGTAGTTATCATGTGGCATGCGCACCAACGCAGTCTTGAACAGCCTGACCAATGCATGATGTTCATGAAGTAGTTGCTGCAGATCTTGAAGAATTGTTATTTTCATTGCTGTGTTGATCTCTTGACGCCGTTCAAGTTGTTCCATCATATTGCCCATGAAGTATATTTCCAAGAATTTATGTTGTGCATCTTCAACAGGTTGCAATGATTCAATATGATGATGAATCTGGCACTCGCACAAAACAAACAATCAATACTTTCAGCTCATATTTATTTATTATATTTGAATTTATTATACTTGAAATATTTGAAAAAAAAAATTTAAAAAGAAATCAATATCACTCAAACTGTCGAACTGTCAACAGTTAGAAACAGCATTTACAAATTTATTATTTTTGCTAAAATTAGTGGATTTTTCCAATATTTTATAATGTATTCTGCTATTCGGAGCGGAGACGATTCCAACAAATCAAAGATAATTAAAATCCGTCCAGCCGTTCTTGAGTTATAAGTGGTCTAACTAACCCGACTTTCTTTTATGTATATAGATAAATATATATATTATTACTATATTATATGAATATAATTAATTATAAAACTTATATTAGTTATTTAGATTAGTTATAAGAAGAATTCGTTAAGAAAACATGTGACTGATATAATAAAAACGTAAGCTGATCAATTAACTTTTAAGGCACTTCTTATCAATAGTGTAACTGATCTCAATTCAGTATTCGAACACAACTTCCTTTATAACAAATAATATAAACATTTATTAATATTTTATGTTCTTATATGCCAAACAAAAATTGATTTTGAGAGATAGAAAGAATCCATTTCTAATATCAAAATTAACCTAAATACGATATGTCAAAGAGGTCTGTCTAAACAAAAACTTTCATTCGAAAAACCGCCAATATCTTACAAAAGGTTATTTTTAGAAAACCTATATATATATATATAAAAGGCTTATACTCATATATAGTACAGTAAATATTATTATTAAATTAGGGTAATCGGCATTAAAAGCTAGCTAGCTCATACTTTTTTAAAAATAAATTCAAATTTATTGAATATTATTTATACAAAATGCTCTCTTTATTATTAAATTTGAGATGCCCACTGATAGATAGTAATAGAAAAGCAATAGTGTTGATACTCGTGAAATAGCAGAATATGCTACCAAAAGTTGCATTCACTATTTATTCAATTTGCAATTTCCATCTTCTTTCGAAGTTGGTAAAACTTGTCCTTAAAAAGGATATAAATGCTTTCCGCATACCTGTATTATTGAAAAACTTAGTTAAAGAAAAAAATAGTTATCGATTTTATTTCAAGGAACACAAAGTGCATCTTAAATCGATTCTGTACGTCAAACAAAGAAAATTGCAAGAATTTTCTTCAGTTTCTATTCTATATTTTATCCAAAAAATTTTAAACAAATCTAACTCTAAATGAGCTACATTCATGTATAAATATTTAATGGATTTTTTAACGGTACTGATGAAATAAAGGAATTCCCAAATATTAATAAATACTGAGCATGGCGTTAAGCGGCCTGATGCCATACAAATCCGACGTAGACTATTACAGGAGCACTTCCTGGTTGTAGAACAACTTTAAAAAGTGGTGTTTTAGAATTAAATATAATCTGAACCTTTTAAATTTTCAAACATTGTACCATGAGATAAGAATAAGACTCTTAAGAAATTATTGGTTGTATATTGAGAACTAAGAGGTAATAAAAGTTTTGTAAATAAAATTATAATTTCATGGGTGTAGAATATGGCCACTACAACACTTCACATAATATAGGTTAGGTAAGGTTGGGTTATACCGGTGATCCCTAGTGGATCCACTTAGGCCTATTGGCCCATTGTGATGCTGTATATAAATACTAAAAAAAAAAAAAAAAAAACTTCAGGGTTTAAAACCACCTAGAACCTTTTGCGAAGCATAAAATGCTATTTAAAGCCCGATCCTGTAACTGGTCCAGGTCCTCAAGGAAGGGGGCCCCTAGAATACTAAATCGCCGACGTGCAAGAGCTGGACAAAAACACAACAGATGAGATGCGCTCTCATCGTCCTCCCCACAGCTACGACAGATTTGGTTGAAAGGAAGACCTAGTCTTCTAGCATGATTCCCTAGCTTACAGTGCCCTGTAATCAACCCTACCAGAAGACCAATGTCCTTGCGGGACATCTCAATGAGAGTTTTCGATTTCCTTTTATCGGAAAGTGGCCAGATTGCATACAGATGTCTACATATCGTTGAGTCTTCCCATCTTTTATTAAAAGTATTAGCGCAGAAAGAACTCAATACATAAGAACTCACATAATATAAGTTAAATATTAATTTTTATTTGTCCGGTATTCCGTGTTTTTGTTCGATAGTTCAAGTAGAAGAGACCGAGCGTACTTTTGCGAATTTGGGAGCTACCGAAGCCAAACGGGACTTTTCCAGACAAACAAGTGGATGTCCCGTTTGGTAGCAACCATGCGTTCGAATAATGTCACATGATTGCTTCGTTAATGAAACTAAGCAAGGGCCGGATTTGGGAGACGCGTGCGTTAACTTATATGCAATAATAGATTAGAGCATAAATTATCTCTCAAGGATATTATTTGTATTATTATATATCTGTTATAAATGAAACTTCCATATGGGTCTCTTGTTTCATGTAGTACTATTTTCAACTTCCTAATATATTTCACTCAATCAAAGGAAGCTTAATTGGCAGTAAGAGCTTGTTTTTCTATTTTTAGTATTGCTAATGTATTTATTAAAGTAAATATTTGAGAACTGCAGAACTTATGGAGCTTTCGTTTGCATCTCACAGCATTTGGAGGTGTATTGTGATTAACATAAAATAATATCCAGTTAATTTTAAAGCCACTATTTCGCTGACGGTGCGAATAATCTTTAGTAATGATATGTTTACATTACTTCTTATAAAGACAAATCAAACATTTTTCATGTATTTTTTATATTATATATTTTTCATATTTTTTCATATTAAAATGGTATATATGTACATGGTAATATTATATTACATACTAAATTTTTTACATAGCTTTGCATGAAAATTATTACTTTACTTTACTAATAAAAATATTATATTGTATTATTTATTAACTTTATCGGTTGCATTGATTGTTTAAAGAAACTTTAAATTGCAATGTCGAGTTGTAAACCCCATTTTATCAGCTTTTAAACACATATCATCCTTGACGTGATTATTTCATAAAAATTGACAGTAGTCGATCTTCTTTTAATAAGATTGTTTATAATACCAATAAAAAAGTGTTGGTATAAATTAATATCTCACACCGATGTATGGGAGATCTTCTATAGTTCCGGAGATATGGTATAAAAACCGCACTATCGTTTTATATACATATATGTTACAGACAATTAATAATTAAAGAATAATTATAGAACAAAAGCTAAGAAAAATCATAAATTATTTTACATATATGCATTTCTTTGTATATTTGTAAGCTACTCAGTTTATTTCTTTATTAAATAAAGTAATATTTGCTGTGAACAATTTAAAAAAAAGCTTAGTAAAAGCTTGATAAAAGCTTTTTTCTCCCACTGTTTTAAGCTAAAAAATACCCAGTATTTTTGAACTTTTATGAACAATCAGAAACAAAATTTAATAATTAATAATTAATATATGCAGTTTATGTAAAGAAATTAAACCAAAAAAAATATTTATTTGAATATTTAAAGTCGTTTATCTTTTACTTTAATCTAATAATAATATAGTTTTATTATATGAATTTTTAAGATATTCAATTTGCTTATTTAAAAAACAATTACGTCTCTTTGAATGTAATTTATTTTTTTTAGTTGTACAATATATTTATGTAATAGTCTAAACAGTAGTTATATAATACTTTAAACAGCAGTTATGTAATAGTGTAAACAGCAGTTAAATAGATGCTTGTCTTGCGTTCTCTTTTGGTTAATTGTGTTAAATGATTTTCTGAAAATCCTAGATTACAAAACTGTTAATCAAGAATTATGGATATATTTCAATTTTTCACATAACATTTATGGAGACGTATGTTAGAAAACACTTCTACGTCGAATTGGATAGATAGACGCATAATTGCTATTTACTCAAATTGAACTTTATATTAAGTTATATTATT